AGGAGTGTCTCAGAGAAGTTTAAGAAGAAAAGTTGCTGCTCAGGAAATGCGAAATTCCTGTTATCAGTTCCACAGATTGCAAAAGGGAATTAATGTATTCAGGCCTCACGTCTGACTAGTCTTTACAGTTTGTGGAGCCGGCCGGGAAACATGATTTCACAATGTGTTTTCATCACGAATCAGGACAGAAAGGAAGGCAGTTTGAAATTCCCTACAAAACGAAACACCTTTGGGCGAGGGGAGGGGAAGTCTGTTTCACTGAGGTTTTGAGGTCTCAAAGCCTGCCTAGAAATGTATCCCTTTTATCGAGTGACTTTTCTAATAGAATGTGAATTCCTTCCAAAAAATATGTATGCAAAAATATTGAAAAAAAAAATCAAAATGCCTTTTTCTGAGCATGCCAGACTCCCTGTCCCATGAAGCACCATGCAACTTTTGATAAGGAGAAGCCAGTGCATCATGGGAGTCCCTGGCAGTGAGGCATCACGGGAGATGTAGTTTGACTGTGGAGGCTGGCCCACATGGAGCCACTCGTATTGATTTCTTTCAAAGAATTTGCATCACGATCAACTCATTTCCACGGAACATTTCAACTTTGCCCAAATGGCATTTTTGCATTTGGAAGAAAAAAGTTGGAGAGTTTCAGTGATTTGTATTGTGGAAAAGCCTAGAAATGTCAGTCAGTGGCCAACCATCAGCTCTCCTGAGCACATGCAATTTGTCACAATTTGAACAACTCTGTGGGGATTTTCTTGGGAACTGCAAAAGGCACCTCCCTGACTCCAGCGCTATTGAAATCTCTGCTGCCAAGGTGCTAAAGTGCTTGAAAATGTGGGCAGACAATTGTTTGACCATTGGACAAATGACCTATGATTCCAAACCTCATTCCTGGATTTGGCTGAACTGAGTTGCCCTGCAGCCTGAAGGGTTGAAGTTGGGTGAAGCTTTCAGCATCTGAAAACAGGAGTTAGTCAAGGAAAGTACTAGGCTCCCTTGCCTGTAGGTGTACCAGCACTACCTTCAATGCTTTGTCATTCCTGCCAAAGCAAGTTGGTTTTACACGTAAATTCTGCCTGCTCAGGTAAAGGAAATTGTAAGCAGTAAATACCAGCAACCCTACAACTGCCTGATCCCAAAAGCCAAATGATTTTTTCTTTCAGCTGAACAAAAAAAAAAATGTGTTCAGAAAAAAATGGAAACCTGAAACATTTTGATCTGGAAATTATGGCACAATGCTTCCTGGGACTTGAGGACCCCATTTTCTTCTATTCACCATGCTCTGTGGTTGAACTACATCTCCCATGATACACCAAGGCGAGGGGAGCTGACCGGCATTATGGGAATCCCTGTCTGTGATGCATTGTGGGAGATATAGTCCCATAGTGGAGCATCGCCTATAGAAGAAAAAGGGGATCCAAACTACAGCACCACAGAAGCCTGCCAGCAGAATTTCCAAATTAAAAATAACCCCAAATGTTCTGAAGAAATTGAAAAGCTCAGTGTTGCTGATACTCTGATTGTTCATCCAAACACAGTTTCTGGGCATCCCAGTCAATGATGCCCCTGGTAAACTCTTCTGCAGGAAAAGGATCCAGGATCTCAACCTTTGAAACCCCAAGCTCCTCTTCTGTGAAGAAAACAATCCTGCTTCATGCGCCTGCAGATTTCTGAGGGCACTTAGGCAAGAACTGGAATCTTATGCGAGCTCTTTTGTGACTTTGAAACGTATTTTCATTCTCACCTGGAACCCTACTGATGAATTTTGAAATTTCGAGATGGAATTTTCCAACCCTTTCCCCCCTCTGTTCATTGATACAAATGTTGCATTTGGAGACTGTGGAGGGTTTGAGTTCCCGTTTTTAATTCGTAAAGAATTAAAATATATTAAATAAAACTGCAAACTATCAAACCCAAAAGTCATTTCAAAACCTAAATTGAAACGTCTCACTTTGATTATGTCAATTTTTTTTTAAACAAGATTTCATTGAGACTGCCCCTATCCTGGTGAAATGTTTCCATTTTGACCAAACGGCATTTTTGGATGAAAAACTGTTCCATTGGAAATTATCCACCTATCTCTCTCCCTGAACTTACACCTGTGGTGGAGCTATTAGCTAGATCAGTGTTTCTTAAACTTTTTAAAACTGAGGAACACCAAACAATATTTTTTTTATGAAGAACACCAAGGATTTTTTGATGAGCAAAAAAAAAAAAAGTTATTGACCAAAAAAAGGGGGCGGGGGGAAGTTATTGAGCAAAAAAAAGATCACCTGCCCCTTTAAGGGTGGCCATTTTGAGTTCTGTTGTTCTCCACGGCATACCTCCGACACCAGTGTGCCACGGAGCACAGTTTAAGAAACACTGAGCTAGAGACACAGGGCTGCTGTGGAAGGCACTAGATATGTCAGCTGTCTTGGGGGAAATGAAAGAAGAACATCGCAGATAACACAACATGTGGGATATTACTATTGCTGAGGGAGGCTGAAAGGAAATGGACCACGGAGGGTGAATCTGAACAACTGGAAAGAATTGGCCAATGTCCATCAGCAACACTGCATTTGCAAGATGGGCTAGCAACACAGACCGCAGCTGGGGGTATGTGACATTAATATCCAGATGCTCCACTGATGCAAGCTATGAACGGACCCATGAGACGGAAAGTCGGGGAAATCGTACTTGGTCTTGAAGCTTCTCCCAGCTCTGTCTACGGGCCAGTCAGGATCCAAAGAATCCAGTTCCCAGCTGAGGGCCATCTCAAAGCCCAGAGCTCACGTGTCAGAGTTAGGGCTCCTCTGTTGGATTCTCACCCTGTTCAAATCGCTGTGGGAGGATGCTTCACCCAAGATCTGAAACCAGACATGTCAGGCTCCAGGACCCAAATCTCAGGTTGACCCCCACTTCCACCCATTCCGATGGCAGGTGGCCTCACACCTGGGACATGTGACCAACTTTGGGCTGTCCCTGCCAGTGCAGGTGCCCCATGCAGCGCAGGCACAGCACCCCCGCTCTGATGGGGGAGGTGCTGCGAGGGGGAGAGGAGACTAAGGGGGGATATGACAGAGGTCTATACAATCATGACTAGTGTGGAAAAAGTGAATAAGGAAAAGTTATTTACTTATTCCCACAATATAAGAACTAAGGGTCACCAAAGGAAATGAATAGACAGCAGGTTTAAAACAAACAAAAGGAAGAGTTTCTTCACACAGCACACAGTTAACCTGTGGAACTCCTTGGCAGAGGGGGTTGTGAAGGCCAGGTCTTTAACAAGGTTCAAAAAAGAGCTAGATAAATTCATGGAGGTTAGGTCCATCAATGGCTATTAGCCAGGATGGGTAGGAATGGTGTCCCAAGCCTCTGTTTCTCTGGAGGTGGGTGACAGGGGAAGGATCATGTGAGGATTACCTAGGGTGATCCCTCCCTCTGGGGAAGACAGGACACTGGGCTGAATGGACCTTTGGTCTGACCCAGTGTGGCTGTTCTTACGTTCTTATGATGGAGCCTTCTGGGTCATCATGTCTAGTCCCTGCTACCGGGGCAACTTGGTCACATACATGTACTGAGGTCAAGAGAGGTTTTTTGCCTCATCTCAAGGCTGGATTAAGAAAAGGGCTTTAGGGGCCCCTAGAACTGCGTCCACTGAAGCCCCTGTGTGGTGCCTTCCAGGCCAGCTGCATCTCAGCGGGGGCGGGGAGGGGGTGGCTCCATGTGGCACCATTCTGCCCCCCAGAGACACTTGGCTATGATGACCCCTGCACCAGGAAGTTCTGTCCCAGTGCTGCTCTCGCCTGCAGGCTCCACCCCTGCAGCTCCCATTGGCTTTGATTCCAAGCGAGCATGGGCCATGTGGAGCCACCTGTTCCCTCCACTTAATGGAAGCTGCCCCAGGTAAGCAACCTCACCCCAACCCCCACCCTGAGTCCCTCCCTCACCCTCACTCCCACCCTGGTCCTGCCCCTCACCCCAGCCTTTTGCCCTTGGACTCCTCCTGCAATCCAGGCCCCTTGACCACACCCAGGAGACCCCTGCCCCCAAACACTTCAACCTCAGCCCCACCTGCACCCCCAGTTGGAGCCCTCCCCCCTCCAGCAGCACTCTCCCGCACACTGATCCCCTGATTTTGGGGCCCACCCCAGAGCCTAAGGGGCCCCACAAAATCTAGCAGCACAAAATTAGGCCCCCAAAAGAGTTAATCTGGCCCTGAAAGCATCCCCCATCCCTACAGAGACACCTCGCCTGGCACAACCTCCGATTGCCTTGGGCCTTTGCATGGCTGGGCGTGTTCGTCCTGCCACCGGCCAATCGGTGGGGCCCTGACTGATGCTTGCCCCGCCCCCTTCCCCGCTCATGCCTGACATGTGCCTCTCTCTGTTGCAGATGCCTTCTCAGATGGAGAGGGATTTGGGAACCGGGTCATTGGGGGGAAGCCCTGCCTCTTTGGCTTGCGGCCCTACCAGGTGGCTCTCGTGAAGGACAACCGCATCTACTGCGGTGGAAGCCTGATAGACAGGAAGTGGGTGCTCACTGCCGCACACTGCAGCAAAGACATCAGGTAAGTCAGCACAAGGGTGCAGGGAGAGTGGGGTTAGGATGCCCGGGAATGACCCACGGCCCCAGTTCTTGCCTTCTCCTTTGGGGTCCCCCATCCATGTCCACCTCTTTTTCTCCCCCATCCTCATGCATTTTTTCTAGCCCTCTAACATTTTTGTGGCTCTCCTCTGCCCACTCTGTGGTTTTCCAGCATCCTGTCTCAGCTGAGCCCGCGCCGACGCCAGTGGTCCTGCTAAGATTTTCCAACCATGAGCGGAGTGAGTTTTGGCTTGTGCACCTTTGAGGCTCCACTCCATTCCATCAGCCCCTGGAAAACCTGCCCACGAGCCACCAGGGCAATGCTACAAGGGCTGGTGTGGGGGCGAGTTTCCCTCTGCACACGCCTTTGAGGAGACCCCCTACTGGCCTGCCGCCTCCATGCCGGGCAGAGTTCTTGCTAAGGTGCACGCTTGTGCAGCTGCTCACAAAAAATTCTTCCCCCGCCCACCTCCTCTGGAGAGCAGCAGCACTCGCTGCTCCAGTGGGCAGGGCCAGCTGAGACAGGGTGGTGAGAGAGCCACTACGGCAGGAGGCCAGGACCTGCCACGGCTGCGTGGCAGATGCGGGAGGCCTACTCTGGTGGTGAGGGCTGCCAAGTGGCAGGAGGGCGGGGCCTGTTCTGGCAGCTGGGGCAGGGAATGGGACCTGCCACATAGCAGTGGAGGGAAGGGGGGTTCTGCTCCAGCAGCCAGGAACGTGTGTGTGTTAATAACTTGGGTGCCACGGTGACACACAGCCACACCAGAACACACAACCTCAATATCGGTGCACAGGGCTGGATGACCCAATAGGCAGACTAAGCACGTGCTCAGGGCACCAGCAAAGCAGGGGCACTAAAAAAAATGAGATTTTACAGTATAGTATTGTTTTTATTTTGAATTACATATGGTGGGGGGGGGGGGGCACCATAATTTTTTCAGTGCTTAAGGCCTCTAAAGGTCTTAATCCGGCCCTGGCTAGATGGATCTTTGGTCTGACCCAGTATGGCCATTCTTACATTCTTATGTTCGCTGCCTAACCCGCCTTCCCTGCCCTCCCCTGCTCTGCCCAGGTCTCTAGCCATCTTCCCCAACAGCCCAGCATCTCCCAAGGGTGCCTGGCTTCAGCAAAGTATTTCATTAGCCTCCACAAATAGCTTCTCCCTGGCAGATCGGAGTGATCCCAGCCCAAGAAGCCCTGGAATGTGATTCCTTCTGAGGTCATGCTCAACTGAGAGCTAATGACCGTGGCTTGGTGCACAAAGGAATGTGGTTATCCCCACCCCTTCCTATCTCTGCTCTCCCTCGACTAGCTCTGTTCCCAAATGCTTCTGCCCTGCACAAATCTGGGTCAATCTGTGCTGTTGGCATCTTGTGACTTTCTAAGCAAGGCGCTGAATTTCCCATAACTCGATCATGGACCCCGATGTACAGAACCTTTCCCCTAAGCCTGTGCACCGTGCAATGTGTCATTTCAAACGTTAGATTTGAGACCATCTTTAAACCCGTAAGAAGGGCACGGAATGGAGTTCATCAATGCTATTGAGCTGTTTGTGGATAGTTATGTGACTACACTCGCCTTGGTTGTACACACACACACACACACACACACACACACACACACACACACATTCTATATAATTCTCTGTTGAATTCGTGGGAAATTTTGCTTCCTGGTATTTTCTGACTCCTTTCGAGTGCTTAAAAAACAACTCCTCATGGTTTTCTAGAGTTTGTCTAGTGACTTCCTTCTATGTGGAGTTGGCGGCGTCACAAATTGCATGCTTTTAATTCATGGCATGCCCAATATGCAGCCCTTACCTGTGTCTCCATGGTGCTCTGAGGCGTCTAAGTGAATACTGAGAAAAAAAATAAGATTGGATGAGGCTAGAGTCCAATTGAATTCTTAGGGATCCAAACTGATGAGGTCTCAAAGACTGCCCCAAAATTGGAAAATTCCTTCGTAGCCCACCTCTAATTGCTTGCCAGCTATGACCTTTGAATACAGTAATAGAATCATGGAATAATAGAACCGGAAGGGATCTTGAGAGATTGAATCCAGTCCCCTGCTCTCACAGCAGGACCAACCACTATCTATATCATCCCCAATAGATGTGTCTGTCTAACCTGCTTTTAATTATCTCCAGAGATGGTGATTCCACAACCTCTCTAGGGAATTTATTTCAGTGCATAATTACCTGGTGTGACGGCGCGTTGGGGGTTCCCCGTCTCCTGCACCCCGAAATGGCACAAACAGACTGCACCAGCCAGTGGAATTGAGGGTGGTTTATTGCTCCTCCAGCACAGCGCAGCACAGATGTAATCTGGTTACAGGAACTGGGGCTAAGAGGCCTCAGTGCCCCCCCTTGAGATAGGGGAGTCCCAGCCCCCTCCCCAGCTCCTTATTCCCTGCCTTCCAGCCAGGAACTAACTAACCCTCTTCCAGCCCTGCCCCCCAGCCAGGGCAGCCTCCACCTTCCTTTGTTCCTCTCCATGGGGGGTGTCTGGTTCAACAAGTTCGGCATTACCTTTGCATAGTGAGGCTTTCCCTGCTGGGTCCTGCTCCAGACAGCAGGGGTCACCACAGCCCAGCAAGTACCCCCATTACGTCACACCTGGACAGTTGGGAAGTTTTTCCTGATGTCCAACCTAAATCTCCCTTGCTGTAATTTAAGACCATTGCTACTTGTCCTATCTTCAGAGGCCAAGGAGAACAATTTTTCTCCTTCCTCCCTGTCACACCCTTTTAGATACTTGAAAACTGCTGTCATGTCCCATCTCCGTCTTCTCTTTTCCAAACCAAACAAGCCCAATTCAGACATGTTTTCTAGACCTTTAACCATTCTTGTTGCTTTTCTCTGGACCTTCTCCAGTTTCTCCACATCTTTCTTGAAATGTGATGCCCAGAACTGGACACAACACCCCAAGTGAGGCCTAACCAGTGCAGAGCAGAGCGGAAGAATGACTTCTCGTGTCTTGCTCACAACACTCCTGTTAACGCAGCCCAGAATCACATTTGCTTTTTTTGCAACAGTGTCACACTGATGAGTCATATTTAGCTTGTGACCCACTCTGATCCCTAGATCCCTTTCTGCAGTACTCCTTCCTAGACAGTCACTTCCCATTCTGTATGTGTGACACGGATTGTTCCTTCCTAGCTTTGCATCCATCTCTTCCTTTTTCCCTCCTTCGTTCAGCTCAGTGCAGTTGAATCTGGGGGATTATAATCTGCGGGTAAGCGAACCCACAGAACAGACTCGAAGAATCTGCAACTTCTTCGTGCACCCTCGGTATAAATCCCGCCCTCACGACTACGACTTCATGCTCCTGGAGTTGGATGAGCCTGTTCAACTCAACAACTTCGTGCACACGATCAGCCTGGCGACCCGTTGTCCCACCCCAGGAATGCGATGCAGCGTGTCGGGATGGGGCACCATCAAGTCCCCCCAAGGTACAGGGTGCCAGCGCATAACAGGGAGAGGCTGAGATTGGCTTCAGTTTGGGGGGGAGGAGCTTTAAGGTGACCTCATCAATGGACTGTCAAGTCCTATGGCTACTTCTGGGGGAAATTTTACAACCAAAGTGATTTTTGGTGAAAAATGCCACATCTACAACAGGAAAGTTTCCCACCAATGTGAAACAATTTCATTGCTTTCTGAAAGAAAAAAAAAAGATTCAGGAAAAAAACATTGCATTTGAAAACACTGAGACCCAACGACCTGATTTTTTGCCCTTTGACACGTTTCCCTTTGCAATTCTCTTCCCTTTTGTTTTCAACACCATTTTAAACTGTTACAGGCCTGCTTCAAATCACAGTGAAATATAATCGCCCCAAAAATGCTGGATATCAGTGATGTGATTGGTTTGCTCGGAGCGTTTTTCACTGGCTTTTCTGCTCATCAAAAATTTCATTTTGGGGAAAAAGAATGGGACCAGATCCCAGCTGGGGTTAATGGGGCAGATCCCAGCTGGGTCAATGGGTCATAGCTCCATTGGGGTCAGTGGATCTGAACCAGTTTACAGCAAAGAGGATCTTACACTGATTTTTCTTCCCTTGCGTCTTGTGCCCTACTCATAAGTGCTGGTTATTCTGTCATTGCCCAGAGCGGCTACCGGCCCTCTTGCAGTGTGCGGATCTCTACATCGTCAGCCAGGAGAAGTGCCAGCAGAATTACCCGGGCAGGATCACGGAGAACATGTTCTGTGCTGGCGTGAAACAGGGTGGCGTAGACACGTGTCAGGTAAGGGGGCCTCGGTGAAATGGGGCTGGCGCCGGGTGTTGGAGATCCCACAGCTCAGTACTCTCCTGTCCCCGGCGAACTCCAAATCCTTCTCAGCCTGCTATGGAGGGGCAGTCATCACTCGGCCCCTGTGCCAGCCTGGCTTTGGGCTTCATGGAAGAGCAGTCAGGCCGCACCAAGCCTTACTTGCGTCATCCACCTTATGGGTCCGATCCCTAGCGCAGGTGTAGCCAGCTGGCTCCACCTGAGCCAATTTCTGATCTTTGAATGCTTCCTTTCCGTGTGCCCCTGCCGCCCCCTGCTGGAGGAGATGGTCCTGCTGTGTTTGTGTGTGTCTGCTGCCCCCTGCTGGAAGGGATGGGCAAGCTGTGTGTGTGTGTCCCTGCTGCCCTCTGCTGGAGAGGATGGATCCTGTTGTGTGTGTGTGTGTGTGTGTGTGTGTGTGTGTGTGTGTGTCCCTGTCCTGATATGTGTGTGTGTGTGTGTGTGTGTGTGTGTGTGTGTGTGTGTGTGTCCCTGCTGCCCCCTGCTGGAGGGGATGGATCCCGCTGTGTGTGTGTCTGTGTGTGTCCCTGCTGCCCTCTGTAGGAGGGAACGGGCCCTGCTCGCTGTGTGCATGTGCTGGGTTGTGGCTGTGTTTGCTGATACCTCCGCGTTGTCTCCACAGGGCGATTCCGGAGGCCCACTGGTCTGCAATGGGATACTGCAGGGCATAGTCTCCTGGGGAACGTCCGTCTGTGCCCTGCGGGGACGGCCTGGGGTTTACGCCAATGTCTGCACAGCCGTCCAGTGGGTGAGGGACACCATAAGGGGCAGGCTCCCCAAATCAGACTGAGAGCGGCCCCCCCCCCCCCCCAGCCACACCACTTGTCCCCTTGCCGCGGTACCTGAGGAGCACGGGGGGTGGGAATGTGGCCCGGGTGGGACTAGGATGGGGGAGTTGTCATGGGGCCAGCCCAAAGCAGTCAAGTCATGATCCAGGCCCAACAGTATCCTGAGACTGAGTTAAAAATGGGTGAGTAGTTTAGAAAGCCCGACTCAGCTGGAGATTGTGAGACAGGTTTCAAAATCAGGAGATCAGCTTGAATTCATGAAATGGTTTTTTTAAAAAAAATCATGAGATTTCAGTTAGAATCATGGGGCCAGCTTGAACACCTGGAGAGTGCTTTGAAAATCACATGAGCCAGGGCCCCTCTGAGATTTTCCAACCATGAGTGGAGGGAGTTTTGGCTTGTGCATCAACAGTGCACTGGTTTGGATGTGCACCACCATGGCACCCAATTTATTAACACACATGTTCCTGGCCTTCGGAGCAGACACACACACTCTCCTGCCAAGTAGCATGTCCCATTCCCAGCTGCCGGTGCAGACCTTGCCTCCACAGCCTCCCTGCCACCATGCGGCAGGGCCCCTTCCTGGCCTCCCCCCGCCCACTG